CTGCTGAATTTCCATAGAGGAATAGATCACCTCGATTTGGAGATTTAGGAGAAACCCCCTTCGTGAGCTGGGTCTTGCAGGGTGAGCTGGACTTAAATGGAAATCGGGGAAAGAGGAGTACAGATCAGTAGAGATTTGGGAACAGAGAAGCAGGGCGAATTCAAGGAAAGCAGCCACTCTGGTGCGTCTAGAACCTAAGCCAAGGATCAGAGGCTGTGCTGGGCAGCACTCCAGTGCACGGTGGGTTGCGAATAGCGCTCGTGACCCCCCCAGGACACAGTGAATGGTGAATAGCGGTGGTTTTTGTTGTGTGTCTGCTCAGGTTCTCCAAGGAAATGGCACTTTGATGGGTAGACATCCAGGTATTGTGGTGGGACAAACACCCTTGCGGGCTAAAGGGAAGAACGCAGAGGAGGGCAGGAAGCGCCTTCAGAGCGGGGCGCAGGCATGCCGCCTCGAAAAGCAAAACGACGAAGGAAGAGGGACATGCAGGGAGTCTCCCAGACTGCAGCGCAGCCCCCAGAGACGGCCTCCGCCAGGCCCTCGCGAGGAGTCCCTCACCCGTCTCGTGGGCTTGCAAGTGTCACCAGTGTCACTCATCGCTGGGAGCAGCTGGAGGGGCGTGTAGCTTCAGCACAAAAGGCGGAGGATCCAGATGGGCAGGAGCTGGCATGGGCAGTCCGCTGTGCCCCTTAAGCAAGAGACCCGAGCGAGATTTATTTTGACTGTTGCTGCTCCCCGTGTGTCAGTGTCCCTGCGTGACTCCCGATTAAACACGCCCGGCTTCCAGCACGAACATGGTTTATAGTTAGTGATTTTCCAATGGAAACTCTACCATTGTATTCCAGAAATAAACCTAAATTAAGCATGAGGTTATATATTCCTTTCTATTTTGCTATATGTGGCTTGCTAATACTGTTTAAATTTTTCACATATAGTCAGGAGTGAGATGGGACTATAATATTTCTTTCTTGCAAGATCTTTATCTGCTTTTTGAATCACGGTCATTGGGGAAAAGTCCCTTCATTTTTTATCTCTAGAAAATGTTGAATATAATTGGAAAAATCTGTTGTGTTTTTTTTAATTGGTAGAACTCACCTGTAAAACTATCTGAGCCTGGCGTTTTCTTTGTGGAAAGAGTTTTAGGTCCAAATTCTTTCATGGTTATAGGAGACCATTCAGGCTTCCTATTTCCTCAGGGGTAAATTTTTTTTTCAGCAGATTTATTTTGACTGTTGCCAAATATGTTTTCATTAAATTGTTCTTAGTGTTTCCTTAATTTAAAAAAATCATGTGGACTATCTACAGTTACACCCTTCTTGCCCTCCTCGTTCTGTGCGTCTAGGCCATTTGTTTGTTTTCCTGTGATCACTTTGTCTACTTTGTGACCCTCTCTGATCTCTATTATTCTTTGTTTCTATATATTAATTTCTGCTGTTAGATTTATTACTTCCCTCTTTTTACTTTATTATGATTTATTCAGTCATTTTTCCCTGTCACATCTTAAGTTAGGTGTTTTATTTTCAGCTTTCTTTGCTTTTCTAGTATAAGCATTAAAATGATAAGTTTTCCCTGACATTCTTGGGGCTGCATTCCACGATTCTGGATTTGTAGTCACTTTAATCATTTAAAAATCATTTTTAATTATAATCAAACTTTTCTTTGTGATTGTTCTGACTTATGAGTTTTTTGAACATTTTTAAGTTATTAGGCACCCTGGGACTTTTCAAAGTTATCTTTGTAGCGGTGTAACAAATAGAAGAGACTTTGATCTGTATGGTCCCAATTCTTTGAAGTTTACTGACACTCGCGCTCCCACCTATCATGTGATCATTCCTGTGCGTGCCCTGCGTAAAGTAGGACTGGCTGGTGGTCAAGTGAAGGGTCCCGTATATACCGTGAGGTCAAGGATAGGTGTTTTTGCACAAGGACTGCAGGTAAACACACCATCTGGTGAAGATGAGGAGCCTGGTATGCGTAAAGCTGGGCTCTTTAAAGATATTGCGGGGTCTGCTACCTTTCCTCTGTGCAAGGAGTCTTATTTTTTAATCCATATATACATCTGTATTTTCTCAATGAGTAGCTAGTAAAGTGACTATTATCTTGCAATTGTTTTTATGAGTGTTCCTCATAATAGAAAAGTTTAGAAACTACTCTGTGGTCATATGCTTTCTGAAGAGAGGTTGAGTTCTCTAGAACCTTCGCACGACGCTCCACAGGAAATCAGCACCTCTGTGCGAGTCATGTGCCCATCAGACTTGCCCTCTGCCTGTGAGCTCTGCATCCGTGTGAAGCTGGCCACACCAAGGAGAGCCCGTTTTTGGAGATATGCCCACACTCTGGGACAGGGCCGGCCAGTCTCCATCAGGGTCCCTGTCCAAACTGTATTTCTGAAACCAAATGCCGGTTGCTTTCTTTTAAGGGGTCAGAACTGTTTCCAACCCACATCTTAAGATCCTTTAGTTTGGGGAATTTTCCTATCCTCAGCGTCCACCACTTAACGTTGTGCATCTGAAGCCATTTTGACCATATCTTTGACTCAATCCCGTATTAAGAATAAAGGAGAGGTGCTCATGCAGAGGAAATATAACAAAGGAGGGACTTTCCTACACAATCTTTGAAAAAAAAAAGAACATTTGCATAAACCATATTTAACCTGAATCTTTGTGTTGTGTTTTTCCTTTCTGAATGCTTTGTTACACTCCCCCCCACCCCACCCTGCCCCTCCACCCAAGCAGCTGGGGACTGAGGCCCTGACGTGTTTCCCGCGGAGGCTGGCGGCCCCCTGACCTCCGGGCCTGAGGGACCACATTCACTGACAAGCCTCTTCTTCCGCTTCTTCCGCTACGAAACCCTCAGATGGGTCAGTCTTCCCAGCACACGGCTGTGGTCCTGTCCCTCTCCTGCTCCAGTGTTCCCAGAAATTACAGAACAAACTCTGCAAGCTTTTGTCTGCAGAGGGGCTGCAAGCTCCTCTGTGCCTGCTTCGTTTCCGCTCCTCTGCTGGGCCAGCCCAGCCCAGCTGACGTCCCTGCCTTCAATACCTTTGTCTTGGATCCTTAGCTCACCTCCTGGTCCCTGAGTAGACCCCACTCACTCAGGATCTGGTTTGGTCTCTAAGCCTGGCTGCCTTTTGCCAGTGGCCGTCTCGCTCCTCGAAGAGTGGCACCGCTGTGCTCCCATGTGCCCCAGTATGTCTGCCCTGGCTGGCGGCTCAAGGCGTGTTTCTCCCCCCACCTCCACATGTGGGTCCCTCGGGGCAGGCTCTGCCCTGTGTGCCTGCAGCCAGTGGTGACATTTCATGCAATGGTATCGTTTGAGTAAACATTTAATGGGTGCAGGGACAGCCACCTATCAAACTGTCACTGTGCCTTAGGCGCCCTTTGCCCCAGTCAATGGCCTTATATTGGCCTCCAGACCTGTAAAGGTGCCAGGTCCAGAGACACAGCCTGTTCTTGCATCACTTCCATGGGTGATTTTGGTGTGAATTGGGAAGTGGCCACAATCTTTTGGGCTGCCGAACAGTCTGGCATTAGGATCCCAAGTCAGATCTGTTTTGAGGAAGTTTTTATTCGTCCTTCCCTTCAGCATTAGACACACGGCGCTTTTTAATCCCACTGTCCCTAACCTGTTCAACAGGCAATTACTAGCCATGTGGCTTCAATAGGTTATTTCGTATCTTGGAGTCTCAGTTTCCTTAAATTTGAAATGACAATAACACTCGTGCCCAAGGATTAAATGGTGTGAGATGTCAGCTATGGTTTCTCCACCCCTGAAAACCCAGATACAAAGGGTGGAAAATGTGATGCTCGTGGAAACCCAAAACCTCCTCTCAAAGTTCTCAAAATTCCCAGCGAGCTTCATTTTCGTGCTTACTTTGGAACTCATTTTCTCCTAAATGTTTTGTTTTTGCCAAAATGATTTGTTCCACCTTTGTTTTTTGTGGCCAGTTCTTCATACCTGCTCTTTTCCTGAACTAAGAGAGCAGCCTCTCCACCTTAAGCTCTTCCTTCAAAGCAACCTGGGTGCAGGTCCGTGTTTGCAGCAGAACGTTACCCAGGGTTCACGCGGCGCAGCAGGGGCACCACACCTAAGTCCTCAGAGGCCAGGCTGCCCCTGGTGCTTTGCTTCCCTCATTCCCCACTCCTCTCCGCCTCCATCCCTCCCCCGTTTCCTTCTGATGTCCTCCTGGGAGCAAAAGGAACTAACTGCCTTGCGTCTGCTCACACGGAGCCTCCTAATGACATACTGAGCCCCTGCCAACACCGAGTCCTCAGACCTCACCTTCCGCCTTAGAGCCCTTCAGGCAGACAGCTTTCTCCAGGTTTGGGTTTGGAAGTCAAATAAGATGACAGGGTGTCAGCTAAAATAAGTTTAAGACAATTAACCTAAATATATCCTAACACCCTATTATCATTATCGTGGACAAGAGGGCTGGGGGCAGGAAGGGGCATCTGGCACAAGCCGAAGAATGTCTTCCCTCTTCCTTGACTCCTCTGGGTGACAACGAGGCTGCCTGCAGCTAGCATCCTGGTGCCGATGTTCCCTTATTAACAATATACTGGCTGTGCAACGAACGCTGACTTCAAGAAACCGTCAGCAAAGCCCAAATCCAAAAGCACAGTGGGGGCGCTGACTGCCCTCCTCTTGTGTCTGGTGCCCACGAGATGCCGTGTTGGGGGTCAGCCAGCTGGGAGGCGTGATGGCTGAGGAGGGTGAGGGCCAGACGGACGGGACCGCCTTTGCGTACAGAAAGTGGCCTGTGGGGTATCTGGGCTTTCCCTGTTGGGAGCAGAACCCCGTTCCCTTGCTGGAGTTGGAAAGCCAGGGTGACATGGATGCCGTGGACTTTCTGTAAGCAGGTACCCCCGCGGGTACTCCGGAGGGCAGCGAGGTCACTGTGATCTGCAGCAAAAGTGAGCCTGCACTTGCAAACCTATCAAACTGCCACTGCATTTAAAGCCACCAGGTACAGCTTTGACTTGAAACTGGAAATAGAGTCAGGAAAGAGAACAAAACCAGACATCTTTATATTTCACAGTAATCCTTGTCCCCTGTGGTCTCGTTTCTCCAAGGAAAAGAGAACAAGGACCTGGGCTGCATAAACCACAACCGCGGGCTGGGCTGCAGGGAGGGCAGGGGGCGCGTGGACGCAGGGGGACACACGGGGTCTGCGGAGTAGGAGGCGCCACGGGTGGAGCTTTCCACGGAGGAGTTGGAAGGGTCGGTGACGCTGTTAGGATCCCGAGGATTTTCTCCCACAGAGGGTGGTTTAATATGGGTCATCCATGCTGAATGAAAAATAAAAGAATATAAGTGAAGCTCAGGGGCTTAAAAATTGCAAAAAGGAAAGCATTGGCAGCAAAGTGGATATTCACTAAAGGTCAGAAGAGGAGTAAAGGATATGCCTCTGGGGTGGGCTGGACAAGATGCAGGATGTCCACGAGGCAAAGGAAGGAGCGGGAAACCCTAAGGCCCTCTCCTCACACTTTCAAGACGCCCGGCTGGAGATGGCGTGAAAATACCGCTGCTGGGTCTGAGACTGCGTCTCTGTGAGCGCCCTGGACGTTATGCGGCCGATGCCCAGAGCACACTCGGCAGAGTTGCTGCGGTCAAGGCTTGGTTTTCACATCGAATGTGGATGAAGGACATTTTCCATAGATTTTGGACAGTGGGGAGGCAGGAAAGCCCTCAAAAGTGGGCATGCTCAAGTGGAAGCAGAAAGCAGAGAAAAATCAAAACTTGTGAAAGGTAGGCTGGTAATTTGAAGTGCCTGATTCTGGTGGGATATGGTTTAAGGAGTGGGTGACAAATTTAGTTTTGTGAAATAAATGACACTTCTTTTGTGTGTCACACAGTTCTTGCCTCTCATTCTTGGAAAAGATGAGAGAACCAAATATGGTGTGTCTTGATAGCACCCTTCAAAGGGAGAGCCAGATTGTGACACTCCCCTCTCACCATGAGCTCTGGGTAAACCACATTTCAGCAGCGGCAAACAGGCTTGCCGGCACAGATAAAAATGTTTCTGAAAACAGAATTTCACGTATACCCTCCTCTGAGGTTGGCGTCGTATCTTCCTGTGTATCTTGGGTGTTGCTTTTCCCCAGGCAGAATTTAGACACTGGAAACCAAGCGAGGTGATAAACAGAACCAGTTTGCAGAAGAGTCAGAGCAACCCAGCAAGAACTGAAACCACAAATGCCCGAGGCGTGGGTCATTCACCGACCAAAAACTAGTAAGAATGAACACAAAGGGCCAGGGCCGTTAGCTCAAGAGCCTTAAAAAAACTGCTTCCCCAGGGTTCAGTGGGACAGGGTTCACGGTATCCAGGCTTGTTCTACAAGCACACCCTACGTCTTCCATCCTGCCCTTCCCTGGCACCATCGCCCAGTGGTTTCAGTGTGAAAAAAAAAAATCACAGTACTGGAAGAGGAGAGGGTCTGGGACTTAAAACTCTAACCTGAGAGTCGAGACTCCTGAGTTCTAGAAACACAAGAATTAAAAGCACCATCCTTAGATGCAGGTGGGTACAAATATCAGCTTTGCCATTTATTCGGGGACCTCAGACCAGCTGTTTTGGTTCCCTGTACCTCTGTTCCTTGGCCCCTTAAATGAGGATGTTGGTAGTAACTACCCCTCAGGGTTGTGGGCAATATTTAATTACTTAAGGCAGTAGCACGCAGAACAGTGCACGGCATGGGATTCACGTCTGATGAATGTTTATCATTACTGCAACTAACTCGGTCACTGGCTCATGGAATCTGCTCATTCATGAAGAGGGTGTGTGCCAATATCCCTTCCAGACCCAGAATTCTATGATTCTGTGAATGGAAGTGCCCTTGGTCAGTAGTCGAGAGGCGGCCCGAGGCGGCTGGGCAACGGTTCTTGGCCGGGTCCTTCTGGCACTTTGTCCCTCCGGCTCGGCCCGCTTCGAGGTCGCTCCCCCTGCCGCGGCTCCCGTCTTCTCCCCCCTCCACTGCCTCCTGCTTCTCTCCAAACCTCCGATCCTGTACATTCTTCAAGTCTCCCCGCCACCAGGTTTCACCCTCTTTACGAGATTTCCAGTGCCTCCTCTGTAGGGAAGAACTCTTCCCTCTAACATGGGACTCATCAGCCATTACCATATATGGCCTTGTGTTTTTCTGAGATTTTTTTTCTGTATTTCTGTCTTCACTCCTCACCTAGCTCATGATGCCCTGGGTCAGGGTGCGGGACTTACTCCTGTTGGTGTCTCAGGCTTGGCTCTGGTCCAGCAAACACCCCCTGGCCGATGCGTTGTGAAGTCAGTGAACCATTGAGCTTAGTAGGGCGACTAGTTACCATGGTAATTAACTTAATGCCGACACCGTCCCTGTACCCGGAGGTCTTCTGAAGAAACTGAACTAATCTGCTTCCATCTAGTGGCGATTAAAGAACAGGTGCTTCCTGCGACCAGAAAGCGGCCCTGGGCGGATTGTACCAGAAAAGACTTTCACTCAGAGGGCGTGGCTGGAAAGAAATCTTTACATCTTGTGGATTTCCTGCCCGCGGAGCCCGGGAGGCCCGCCCGGAGGGGGGGGGGGCCTCCGACCCTGTCTGCGTTCCCAGACGGAAGGCAGGGCGAGAGAGGAGGGCGGACGGGGCGCCTCCCCCGCTGCGGCCGCGCCCAGCTGCCCCTCCGGGGGCCCCGTCGCCAAGGCTCCCAGGACACGTGGCTCCCCGCCGGCCTCTCGCCCCCGGGCCCTCCAGTTCCCCCCACCCCGCTACCGATCTCTCCTGTCCGCCCTCCACAAGGGTCGCCCCCGCCGTCCATCTGCCCCTTCCCCTGCCCCGCCTCTGCCCAGAGTGAACCACCCTGCCTGCGGGGAGCCGCACACCGAACGCTCCCCGGGCCGCGAACCGAACCCATCGCCTTCACCCCAGACTTCTCATTCTCTTGTGTCCCTGCTCAGTGCATGGCACAGTGTGGGCAGTGCCCTTCTGCCAGCCCCCGGCCCAGAGCCGTGACCATTCCCTGATTCTTGGCTCTCTCAGCCCACCAAGAACCGTGTTCGGTGGCCTCTATCTTGTCTCTTGAGCTCAACCTCACCATCAGCTCTAACCTAATAACTTGAAATGCCTCCAGAACAGGTTTTGCCTACCGGCTCACCCATTTCCCATCTGCATGCTTCTGTGCAGACTGATCCTGGTAAGACGCCAATTTCTGCACAACACACACTTGCTTACAGTCTTGTCAAGCCCACACTCCTTAATATGGCTCATGAGTTGCTCCGTGACCTGGCGTGTGCTGCCCTGAATTTCCCCACAGGGACCCACGGAAAGAGCCCTCACACATCAGGGGCATTCCTTGTTCACTCGTTCACTTAGTGCCACCAGCACCAAGATAGCCCAGCATTGCAAGGAGGGTAGCAGATTCATCCCTTATTCTGGCACCTTCTTCGAGCGGAAATCTTATAAAGAAGGACTAATGTTTAGCTGGAACAGCAAGTATCTTAAGGAAAGTAGAGAGAGAAGCACAGATGGAGAAACTCCTCATTGATGAAACTTACCTTCTCCGAGACTTTTTGCCTAAAAACAGAAGACAGAAAAATGTCATGAGCAGAAGTAGGCAATTTCAATTTTTTAGAGTAAGAGAGAAGGGAGATTCCCCCTCTCAAACTGTCTTTCCAAGTGTATTATTACACGTTTGTTAAGTGGGCTCCATCTGCGTCTCGGGGTTTAAGGCACTGGCTTCATGTTCTGATGCATAAATAGGTACTCAGAACAGACCCACTGGTCCAGGTGTGCCCCGAGGTCCAGCCCATCCTCTGCTGCTCAGAGCAACAAGCCCAGCCAGTGCACCCAGGCACCCGTCTGCCCCTCCTGACCTGCCCCTCATCTTCCCTGCAGATTCTCCCAAGACACTCACTGCTCACACTAAGAACGGGAGTCGTCACCCCCACCCTGTCTTCTCTGAGAGAATCCACATGAGAAACGGTCCTCATGCCATGGTGAGAATCACACCCCTCGTCTAAGTAACCGGAGTATGTTTATCTTACGTACCATGAATATCGTAACTGGTGTGCTTCCTGCTGTGACTGGCTTCCAGGAAGCTCAGCGTCAGAACTGAGACCCTTTCTACCATGTGTACAGGACTTTGTGGCACACGTTTTTGTGTTGGGACTTCACCCCGGCTCCAACTTATTTTTGTACCCCTACATGTTAGCTTTCTTTTTCTTATTCACTTTCAAACTAACTTTGGCTTGCTAGGTCCAGTGCATTTTGTAAACTGCCTTACATTCTTTTTGGAAGAGTATAAATAGTTAGATAAGTGAATGAATGCACAGTAGGGCTCCAGGGGAAGTTAAAGCAAAAAAAAAAAAAAGAGAGAGAGAGAGAAATCGCTAAGAGGCAATAAATTTCAGTGACTGTAACTGGAGCTCTAGAATCATCCCGTCTGAGTACCAGTCCTGTTGTGCCCACTGTAGTGCGTCCTTGGACAGCTACTAATCTGTTCTCCAAGCCATAATTTCTTCTCTTCCTGATGGAATCGATAAAGTAAAATGTGTTCAAAGTATTTAGGCCAGGGCCTAGAATGCAGGCAGTGCCCAATTACTGTTTTAAACCCTTCAACTGTTAGAAATCACCATTTTAAATATTTCTTCAAAGTACAGCCTGCCAAAGACATGAGCTCTTGAGCAGGGAGAACAGAATCTGAAATAATTTAAAATTCTGTGTGTTCATCATCATAAATTTTTCTCTTAGGAACAATGAAACACATAACAATACACGAGCAAGGGTCTGTTCCAACCGAGAGAGCTCTTTTTGAAGAAAAGGGAACTGAGGGGTATGTGTTCAGTTTCGTGCGCTGGTCTAACCCTGTGTCGGTTCAGGTGGGAAATTCTTCCAACTGGAGAAAAAAATAGAGGGTTGTGAATCTGAGGGCCAGTGGTTCTAGGGGCCTTATCTGGACGGGGGTGTGCTCTCTGACACTGGCCCTCCTGACGTGGGATTTCAGAGATGTGGCCCACAGCATCATTGTTTCAGTTTCCTCATGTGCTAAATAGGACTAGTAACAATCAGTGACTGATCAGAGAATGGTGACACCAGGGAGCCGCATTTCCAGACACACCCAGGCACAGGGGCAGGTGTTTCTGAGGCTGCTAGTACTCCTCTCTGAGAAGACAGGAGCTAAAGTCTGCACCCCAAGGCGGGCAGGGCCGGGGCCAGAGCACAGGTTCAGAAGATCCATCTGAGGGCAGGACGGGGTTAGGCTTCCGGTCATTCCATTGGCTCCTGTGGGCACCTGTCCCCTCTTCCCAGCTTTCTGAACCCAAAAGCCTATAAAATTCTTGTAGCTGATGAATATAAATACAGACTTACTGTTACTCACTTTTGTTCTTATAAATGCATTAGTTAGATTGTGTTAGAAAAGCTCTGGGGGGTTTATTTATGCTGGGAGCCTACCCATCACTTCTAACACTGTCTCTGTAGGAAAAACGTTCTTCATGTTTCAGAGGATGAACTTATAGTAAAAGCTTTGGAAGACAAAGTCACTTGAGGGTTGGAGATACCAGAAGGTGTTTCACAAATGAAGACTATTTAAGGGTCCTGACTTGCCTATAAAGGTGATCCTCGGGGCTTCTGTTCTCTCTGGCATGACTGAGACTTAACCTAACTGCCCGTTATCTGTTTCCTGTTTGTCCCACGCTGATCCCGCAGCAGGGCCGTGGCTGCTTGGGTTATCAGTTTGAGATCTTGTACAGAAATGACTCCAGGGTAAAAAATTTAAAAACAACCCATTGCTTTTCTACCACCACCTATAAGACAACCTTAGCCAGCTACCCATGCCACCACCACCACCAGGTACACGTGATTTCCATTCATTCCTTTGGTTCTATGAACATTTATACAAAAATTTTGGAGTTTGGGAATACCCTCCTTATTGTGGTGACTCCCACTGCCCAAGTCCGTGAGGTTACTCGGATAATACCCCCTTACCCCAGAGGGCGGTGTGCCGCTGCCCACCTGTCCCCTGCCCTCAGTTCTGCCTCCACCAGCTGAGGTGGGGGGAAGGGCAGGGCGCGGCCCGGCTTTGAGGCCTCAGTGGAGAGGAGGACCCGTGGTGGGGGGAAAGCCTCCTTCATTTGCCTGAGAGCAGTCCTGTGTGCCTAGGCGGGTCCAGCCTCTGCAGAACTCCAAGAGCAGGAGCGGGGACAGGCTGGCCGCTGGCGTCCTCACTTCACGGCAAGTGGGCGTCCAGCTCAGCAGGGGCCCCTCTGCTGCCTGCCTGGCTTCCTTATAAAACGAATCCAGTGTCTTGTTCTTAAACTTGGAATGAAAGCACAGATCATAATGGAAGCCCGCTAGGGGATGGTGGATAATATTTCTGCAATTGCCAGTGAGGATGGGGGACAGGCTTTATAGCCCATTTTGTGAACAGAATACGGACTAACTAATCTGATGGCAGTGAGACTAAAACGGCGATCAGCTGCCCCACAGGAAGGCAACATCACGCAGTGGGTTAGCAGTTGTCTTGAGGCCACTAATGGCCCCTGAACTTGAAGCAGGGATATCTTAAAAGCTTCCTAATGTCCATGAATTTCATGTTCTTGAATGTTTCTGCCAGGTGACTTTGGCCGCATGTGGTGCATCTGGTTAGAGCCCCAGCCAAGGTGAACAGACGTCTGGGAGAAAACAGGGGGATTTCTCCCAGGAACAAAGCAGCCCCCAAATGTCAGAAGCCAGAGGGCTATTGACGAGGTCGGGTCATTGGGGGCAGGGCCTTAAAAGCTTCTTAGATGTTACAGTCACTTCCTAGTGGAGTTATAGCATGGAATCAAAGGCTTCTAGGCTCTCAGAGAACAGAGATTATGCATCTTTTTTTCAGAATTATATAAGAGCAAAATATACATTAGAATATCTCACTTGTGTGTTTATCACCCTAGCAAGGTACCTTGAAGATAGTAAACATTTTTAAAATTTTGCAGGTAAAATTCAAAAATCAAGCAAGTGGTCATGGAAGCGTGTCCTGAGGTCTGGGGGGTGGCTCCTACACCTCCCCAGGGGCTGACGTCTGTGCCACAGAGCTTGGGATCCCGCCTCAGCTGGCCTGGTCACTGAGTTCCCTGTGGGTTTCTGTATTTGTTCCATTTTCAAACTGAGTTATTTTTATATGAAGATAAACTCACATACCTTTCTTTAGTCTCCTTGCCAACCAAATGATAAACGCCAGCCCAGAGAAGGCAGTAACCATGACAGCCACTGGGATGAAGAGGGGGTTGTAGTCTCCGTCCTTGATCATGGAGAAACTGCTGTCCACCTCTGAAGGAGAAACCAGGTGCAGCGCATGAGGCCACACATAGCGCCTCTTCGTACCACCTTGTAATATCAGACATTTTCCTCCTTACACTCCTGATGGCAGCCCATACGATGCCGTGTGATGGATGCGGACGCTGACAGGAAGTCCCAGGAGGAGCCCAGCCCCACTCTTCTAGCCCAGGGCCTGTAGAATCTCAACCCCCAGATCTGTGACCTATGGAATTCCTGGGAGCTATACCTTAAAATCTTGGCAAGAAGTGGGTATCATTGCATTTAGTTTAGGCCTTGTTTAGTGGTTGGCCTCCAAAACACAGAGAAGAACAAAAACATCTAATACAACCTCAGGGAAAAAAAGCCCAGGAAATAGTTTCCTTTGATTGATAAGTCACCTGGTTCAGATCACTGGCTTTACTGGTTTTACTCTGAAGCAGTCGTGCAAATGTCTGTACTTGTTTACATGCAGGGACCTGTGCTAACCTGTCTTTCAAGTGATGTGGTCCTACCACCTCCTACACAAATAAGGCAAAGGGGACACTGAGATAGCCGTTGGGAAGTGTGAACTGCGTCCGCCTGGGAACCGTCATGGAAGAATTTCCAATATGAAGAAACCTGCCTCTGACCTCGCCGCTGATGGCACACCCTTTGCCCAGGTCTGACTGTGTCTCTTGTTCTTCACATCCCTTTGATGGACCCTTTCAAGGTGCTTCCATCCCCACACCCAGGTGTGTAATAAGAAGGAGTCCTAGGTCCCTGGAGGATCCAGGCAGAGGGCACCCACTGGGCACCCAGAAGGAAATGGATGCTAGCCCAGCCTTGAAAGCCAGTGCCCCATAAACCTATACATGACCTAAATTCTCCCCCAGAGGCCCCAGGCCTCCTCTGATCCCACCCCTCTCCTGGCCTGTGCCACACAGAAAGCAGCCTCTCAGGCGGCCTGTATGGAGCTCACCATTTCAAGACTTTGGTCTATGTGCCCATGGCCTCAGGGGCCGGTGTGGTAGCTTGTCTCCCGCATGCCAATCTAACACTAGGAATGGGACTGGGGGAGGGACGCAGAGACAAGGAAGACGGGGTCCCTGTCAGACACAGACGGATGTGGGAGGCATCAGCTTGGTAGACTGAGAAGCATCCTCTACTTTGGGACTTTGTTGATCCTCGGTGACCTTACAAGGTTTGATGCGCTGACAGAGCAGGAAGGGTGTAAGGAACAGAAGTATGCGTAAGGAATAAGCCAGTGGAGAGTGTGTCTAGATGTTAAGGACTGAGACAGGTGGAGTTGAGAACTGGCTGACAAGAAGAGGCAGCTGTCCTTGAAGGACAGGGTGAGAGTGACCAAGGGTTTAATAGTAAATGAATGTGTGAAGATTTATTTTTAAGACTCATACATTTGGGGAAATGAAATCTAAAATGTCAGTCTATCTTCCCCCGCCACTGGCTCATCCATCAACTCCATCTGCATGTCTTCCAAGCATCAGGGTGAACTTACTCACTTTGACATATAGGGCTAGGGCTGGACCAGGTTCCCGATGACCCACAGGTAGATTCCTTCTCGCCCATTAACTCAGCTCCTTCCAAGCACTGGAAGGTGCATGTGGAGGTAAAGCTGAAGTTGGCCAGGGGGTGGCTGCAGTCCATGGCCCCCAAATCAGGCACCTCCAGAGGCTCACACCCTATCACTGCAATGACAAAGGAAAAAAAACCCAATATTTCTGAGCAGACCCTCCTTGACCAAAGGTTTTCAGCCAAAGCTGTCTGATGCATCTGCAGAGCCACCCACACAAACCTAGGAATTTCTAGTTCTAATCATTACTTCTGGTGATGCTCCCAGACTTAATTTCTTGAGACTGATGAAAAGTGGTGAGTCAGGGGTGAGGCCAGGAGAGTGGAAAGCCCTTGCGGGTTGGGGGTGCTGCTCTGGGTGCTGTCCCAGCCCGTAACGCTCTGTTGAAGGTGCCACGCGACCCGGGCCTCGGGCTCCCGTGGAATATTGCCAGTGACTGCGAAGGTTCTGCTCTTTCACCTGCTCTAACGCCAACCCCAGGCGTCTTGGAAAACATTCCAGTTCAGTAAAGTAAGTCAGGCAACCTTATGCAACTCGGCAGGCTTGTCCATTCAGTTCTGGTCTCAGTAAATGATTTTGACCATCCTTTTGAGAATTAAACCACTCAAACTAGTGAGTCCGAAGCACCAAGGTAGGAAATGTAAACAGCACTTATCAAGTTTTCTCCCATATAGGGGCGACCTCCTCGACAGTTAGCGAGAAAAAACCCACCACATTTCAGATGAAAAAAAGATCAAGAGGTGTGTCTTTATTTTTCACAGAAGTTGTTATTCTCCTGAGAGTTCACAGGGGAGAAAGAGTAAAAACTGATTTCAAGAATAAACCAAATAAAACAATCGAAAAACCCTCTCCCCCTGGGGAAGGAAACTGGCTGGTGTTAAGTAGGACACCACATAAAATAGGTGTTAACTGAGCAGAGAGCAACTGAAATTTAACTGAGGTTCAGCAAGGCTGATCACTTATGCCATGGCAATGAGAAAAATAAAACAGTCTAACCATGCTGTATTGCTAAATATTACATACCTACTCTGAGATGGCTTCAGAGGTATTTCTTATTGTTTTTTGTGTGTGGTTTTCTTTTTAATTTTGGCAACAGTAACCCTTTTGGAAAGCAGTGCAACCCAAGTTAGGTTAAATTATGCTCCTGAAGAAGATAGAGACTTCGTAGCAAGACTCCACTGCGTTTTCTGTTTGTAAACCCAGGTCCACCATGGCCACGCCTGTGGTCCAAACTGTGACTCACCTTGGCAGGCCGGTTCTGGAGAGGACCAGTCGCCAGACGGCCCACACGTGGTTTCCCCAGGTCCGGTCATGCTCGTTCCCTCAGAGCAGTTGAAGGCGCAGCGGGAGCTGAAGCTGAAGTTCCCCAAAGGGTGGACACAGGCCAGAGCACCCCGCTCGGGGGCCGTCAGGGGCTCGCACTGGACGACTTCAGGGGGGAAAGAAGCAAAGCTGGGGTCACAGAGAACCTGGGGGTCAGGTTCGAATCCTGCTTTGCCATTTGATAACAAGGTGCATAACTGGTCACCTTTAGCAAGGTGACTTAACCCCTCCAGCTTCAGTTTCTTCATCTATGAAGGAGGAATGATCGCATTAACATCCTAGAGTTGGTGTGAGAATTAAACGGTTCAATGCCTGGCTTAATGCCTGGCTCATAGGAAGTCCTCATCAAACATTAGCTAGTTTTCTGCTTATCTATGGCATTATCTGGGGAGAGTTATTCTTGAGCCAAGGCAGGTTTAAGTAGGAAAGACCAGCTCAGTGTGGAGGTAACTGCCCCGCTGGAGTCCCTGGATATACTAGAGCGCTGGGAGAAGGGGTTCAGAGAACAGTGGGCATGCATGATGGGTCTTCTTTACAAAGTAAAAGCTGTAGGAAGCAGCTTGGCCTTGATTCTGTCTCCAACCTCTCTACCTCAGTTCCAGAACTCGAGTTCTTGTGATTTTGACAACCCTCTCCAGAAACTATTTCCCTGCCCTGCTTGATGGAATAATAGATCAAATGAAGACTTGGAAATCAGCTGCACATTTTAACCCCTGTCATGTCTTTTGGGAAAATATTGCAAATCTCGTATCTCATTCTTCATTAAACTGGAGCCCTCGTTGTGACCTTGTTCTTGAGATTTTAATGAAGGATGGACTCAAGGAATCAGGAGTTGTAAATGTTTATATTTTCCAAACACTGTACACATCCAGACTGAAGTAATTCATGCTTTCCAATTCAGTTCATGCCCACAAGCAACAGCCTGATTTATTCCAGGTACGGCCTCAGCCTGGCAGATGCCACGATATGTCAGACACGCACTGACCCCCTCAGGTGCTGTCGGTCTACAAGACAAGTAAATATCCGATGCCAACTGATATGGAGGTAAATAAGAAAGAAATATGTGGGCTATTGGAGCCCAGATCAGGGCCACTTAGCCTGTCTTGGGTCCAAACAAAGGTTCTTGAAAGAAGTGGTCCCCGCGGTGTGTCTTAAAGGTGAGCAGGTGTGTTAGCCGTGTGTAAAATGAGAAAAAGAGCTATGGCCAAGTCAGTGAGATGCCCGGCACATGCAGCAAGTGTGGGGAGTGGGATTCTGATGTCACTAGAAGGAAAGAGGGAGGAGGGGTGAAGACAGAGGAGGCTGAGGAGAAAGACGGGAGCGAAGACTCAAGGCTCTCATCTGTCTGCATTGATTTCCCAAGTGCCGACTGTCTATCGAGCCTTACTCTAGGCCTTAAGGAGTTTAGATTTCATCCTATGAGACAAATGATAGGTAAGAACTGAAAGGTGGGTGGCCACGTGTGTATAATGTTGGTTGGACTGTTTTTTATTGTTCAGTCTGCTGCATTATGAATAATATTTTTGAGGGGAACTAATTTAAAATCGTGGAACTCAGCTAAGAAATCCCTGCAACAATCTAGGAGAAAGATGCTCAGGGTGATGCTGGTAGAATTGATAAGTAGGAAACAAGCTGGAGAAACAGTAAGTCATAAAGCTGAAAAGCGTGTTACTCTGTATAAATGCAGGGGAGGCGAGAGTCTCACGGCAGAAGGGCCACAGAGATGGTGGCGCAGCACGCTGAGACGAAACGGGAAGCTGCTGGGGACAACTGATTTTACAGCCTTTTGGGCATCCCAAAGGATATGCTTAGCATGTTTGGAATTCAGGGCCAGAAACAGATTTGCCAGTGCAAACCTTACATAAGTTTGTGGGTCCACAAAAGTTGGTAAGTTTGATGAAAGGAAGCATGTAGAGTCAGAACAGCAGTAGACAAGAGAAAGATGAGAAACAGCAATAGTGTACGGACTTTGATCAACGCCCATGAGGAACCCCAAGGAGAAACGACTGCAGGTAGAAAGAAAATAGGGTAAGAGCGATATGGTGAAAGCAAGATGGGCATGCCAACAATACAAGGGTCTAAAAACATAAAGTTTAGGAAAGAAACGAGAGGAAGTATTGGGTGGGGGTCAATGAAACCGAGAAATGAGTGAGGTGAGTTAAATCTCTTCCAGTTGGTTGACGTTCAAAATTTTGGCTTTAATTCTTCATCTATTCCTTACACACATTGCTTTTTGTTCTTTCTATAATTTTCTATTTTATGCACCAGGTAGTTCAAACATAATTCTGAAACTCAACAAATATTAGTCAAAGGACATCACGCGTCTTTCGGTAATGAGTTGACTGGGTCAGGGGCTCCCTGCCTTTGAGTCTGTATTGGTTCCTTTCTGTTTCTACTACCACAGCTTGCGGTGATTCCAGCTGTTTCTTGATGACTTTCTACATCTTCCCTCTTTGTCCTCCCGTCCATCTTATGCATGGCTGCTGGGATAACTGCCCTCCGTGCAGGTGTTAGCATGTTAAGGGGCCGCCACAGTGAAATGAAGGCCAGGTTCCTTCAGTAGACAGTTCCCAGCCTCCACAAGCCTCCTACAGCTTATGTTGTTTTCCCCAAACCGAAGTATGAGCGTATGTGATTTCCACTAGTTAACCGTAAATCCTTAAAGAGCAGAACCTACCCTAGATTTGTCTTTGTATCCCCTGAAATACCCAGTCCAAATAACTGTTGGATTTATTATTATGTATCTGACATACACTGTTTCCCATTATGTGACCTTTTCTTTGTGGCTTTGCCCTATCATGACTGAGGTTTACATCGAAAAGCAAATTACCTTCTGGGTAACTCACCCTCCAACCCAATACAGGGCATCATCTCCTTCAGGCTAATTTAGAGTTCTAAGGGGTCCAACAAGCCGCGAGCTCTCGAGTCCCTTTGGAGCGGGAACCTGCCATGCCTGATCCATTCCTGGAGTCCTTACAACTTTTGTCTCAGTGGTGTTCTTTGTGGTGCTCAAAAGGACTTGCTGAGAAGTGAGTGGAAGCGTCATACTGACTTTCGAAATCGTTACGGAACAGTGACCACATTGTGCAAGCCTAGCCTTATGATGAGAACTTGTCATTTCTCAGAACGGCTGCTATTATTTTGACCCAACCAACTTCCATAAGCTGCGAGAGCTCCTGTAACATTACAAAGGGGGACACAAAGAGGGGAGGGGGCTTACCGAGCTGACACTGGGGCCCATAGTACCCCACGTCACAGATGCAGGTGTAACTGTTGACCGTTTCCACACATTCTCCATGGCCGCTGCATGACCAGGGTTGACAAGAAGCTGTAAGGGGTCAGAAATGTTATTTTAATGGGCATGTTTTTAGCACAGTCATTTCTTTAGACAGATAACTTAAACTAAAAACTGAAACTGTTTTAGTAAACAGGAGAGGTTTATTGGGTTAATATCCATTCACAGAACTTTTGCATAGAAATTGTGTGCTGACAATTGTATGCATATAACACACTGGCCATGGAGCCTTAGGCACTTGTTTTTTGAATGAATCACACTGATGCTTATACTCTATAATCCTCGGGGGAAAACTCAGTGACATATATTAAAACTCTTGAAATCATTTTGTTTTTAATATAATCGGTAGAGTAAGTGGTGACGTGACCCCATAATTTCTGCAGTATGCTTAGTAATCTCTTTCCTAGTAGAAAGGTTAAAAAGTCTGAACTCACTAAATTAACAGAGTCCAAGTCACAAGAGGTCAAGTTAACTATGTTTCGCTGTTAAGACGTGACTTGGGAAAACAAGGACTGTTTTGGAACTGTTGTAACAGTCTTTACAGACATTTTCATACACCACGGTAATAAAGCACCACAGTGTTTCTGACACAGAATTACAGAAGATCAGGCCAAACAGGAAACAGGTGCTGGGACACGCAGTTCACAGGGACGAAACTGAGGCCGTGTGAGCCCACTGCCCTGCCCTGTCATCAGGGACCCAGGGCGTCGGTTCTCCCGCCTTACTGCCCATGTCTACTTGCCATAACTTGATGCCAACTGATATAAGGAGCAGCCTCACGCCCCCAAAACGCTCGGATGAGTCTACGGAGGACTGGACTCACTTTGAACTCATCGGTCCTTCTCTGCCCCGTGTCGGGCACCGGTCTGAGTGCCTGCCTGCCTCTGGCCTTGCTGGCAGCCTGAGGGGGGTGGGGGACGTGCCTACCTGTGTAACAGAGGGCCACCTTCGCCTTGTGGCAGGCGTCGTCGTTCCACTTGCCCGCGTCCTTGGGCCTCTTGATGTAGATCTCCACGCAGTCCTCCTTCGTCTTCTTGTTGTTGGGCTCCCCGTCTCCCCAGTTCTCAGCCTCCTCGGTGAGGGATTTATTGGTCCCCACCCAAGTCCAGACACCCCCTACCTTCCGGATCCCGATCCAGTAGTAGGTGCGACTGAAGGGGAGCGTCTTCTCCAAGTACTCAATTTCCCCCTTGTTTTGTATGGCGACTAAATCCGTGTAGTTCTCTCTGCAGAACCTTCTAGCCTTCACCCAGGCCATGGGGCTTTCAGAGTAATGGTAGGTCCAGCAGTCCACCCCGCAGTGCGCGAGGAAATCTGAAAGGCATCCATGTGGACCGTCAGACCCAGTGTCACGGCCCAAGGGACCTGCAGCCGCCCAGGCCGGGCTGCCCCGCAGAGACGAGGAAGCAGAGACCAAAAGGTCGTGTCATCTTCTTGGGGCCGCACGGTCAGCCGTTTGCAGAGCTGATGCGGAGCCCAGACCTGCTGGCCCTCACTGCTCTTTCCCATAATACAGAATACTTTGCTCACACCTCTAGTGTAGACAGATGTTGTGGTTTCCTAGATTTATTTTCTAAAATATGTGTTTCTAATGCTTTCAAGTGAAATTCAATCAACATATTTTTAGAAAGTCATTTTTTCTTTCTCTTAGTAGCTGCCAATCACGTCACACTGAGTTAGGTGTATGATCATATACCTCTAAAACGTACTGTCCACTTTTTTAATCCTGCAATAGTTTCCCAAAGGCCAACATTTATGTTACTAAGGGAGAAGTAAAATAAGGGAGGGATTGACAACATATTTCTAAGCAATCTCTTTCATATCAGAAAGATAACATTTCATAAGCCAGGTGGAGAAAGACAGATGCCATATGAGTTCACTTATATGTGAAATCTAAAAATGAAACAATAAAAAAAGTGGCAGGATACTCATAGACACTGACAAGGGACTGGTGGCTACCATTGGGGAGGTGGGGGTGGTGGGTGGGTGGGGAGGCTGAGGGGGATAAAGGAGCACAAAATCAGTCATAACATAAATTAGTCACAGGGATGAAAGGTCCACATAGAGAACATAGCCAATGGTGCTGTAGCACCGTTTTACGTCGACAGTAACTGCACTAGTTGGGGTGAAGATTCAGTAACGTAGGTAACTGTTGAAACACTATGTTGAATACTTGAAATCAGTATAATGTTGTATATCAACTATATTTCAATAAAAAGCACTTTAAAAAAAAAAGATATTTCATCATAGGAAACCCTCACTACACAGCCCAACCCTTATAGATCAAACTGCATAACAGAAAAAGAATCACCTATAAACCCAAATGTAGAGCATGGTGAAATTGATTTAGGTTTTGTTCTGTGCACAAAGACACCCCACTGGCGTGTTTAATAACCATACAGGAGCTTCACATATGAGGGTTTTGAAGAACGCACAATCACACAGCAACAATACGTGCCACCTAAGCATGTTGTGGTCTGCGTGAAACTATTATACCACAGGGTGAATGTCCTCACAGCCTCAGCACCTACTGAGTTTCACTGTGCAGGGCAAATGCCATAGAAAACACAGATCCAGTGTTTGCAGTTGCCTGAAGATTCCGAACAAGGAATAGCAGATGCAAAGAAAATATAATGAATCTTGACCAAATGCAACACACCAGAAATGAGCAGAGAACCTAGAAGCAGTAGGATTAATGAGTAAGTGATGTCACAGAATAAGGACTTCCTGCAGTTTTCAAAGAGCGTTCCAGGAGCATGTGCGTCCAAGAGGGAGGAAACCGTTAGTCCGACGCTGCATCCTCTGTGCCCAGGAGAGCGTTCGGCACACGGCAGAGACTCCAGGCCACTGCTGCATGAGCCAAGGGTGGTGGAAGGGGTGGGCTTGGGGGAGAGGAAGCACGTTTGCTCGACCAGCGCTGAAAGCCCAAGCCTGGCAGCAAGAAGGTAGGCGGGGAAGAAGGTTCAAAGCCATTGCTGAAGAGGGTCGGAGAGCCAGGCACACAGCCCGTCAACCAACGGGAGAAGGATCACCAACCATGTCATGGGCCTGCCCCTCGGGAGCTCACCCTTTAATCGTAGAAATGACATCAGCTAAAGATAAAATACAGTGCTGAACATCTGGTACAGGTTGTAAGTGCCCTGATCAACTTCACTCCTTCGTAATGAACACTTTTGTGGGATTATCAGGATTTAGGCCCTGCAGCAAAGAAGGTGGCAGGTTTAAGAGGCTTTGGGGGAGGTGTTCAATGTGAAAGGGAGAAAGAAGATGTTTACAGGAAGGATGGAATGAGCAGCTGCCTACCTAGAAGATGTGCAGGAACAATGAGGAAAGGTTACAAAGGGCTGAGCAATATACAAATGTCCTGACGTACCACAGCAGAGCACGGTCCAGACCCACAGCTTGAAGACACTCCATGAGCCCTTCTGGGCGCTCTGACGTTTCCATGGAGAGAGCTGCAAATAAAATACAAAATTACATTTAGATTATTCTCTTGAGTCCCAAGTTTACAGCACCTGAATGAGGTGCCTACTACAACTTCCTACAGTCCAAAAAAGCAAAACATGCGTGCAGACCGTGATGGAGGTAAGAGCTTTCTAAGGCAAGCATGAAAAAGTAGCATTAAATTTACTCAAAACTGATGCAAAGTTGTTTCTCTTTTTTTCATATTTTAGCCTCAATTTCCTGATAGTTACTGCTCTGATTTTTTTTCCTACATTTCAGTAACTTTGTACCTACTTTTCTGCTGAACCCTCAGATGAAGCTGTTTGAGGTTTAGCATGGATATTTTCAAAGGGCTCTTTGCTGCTTAATGAACTGTTGATGTCTAGATTTAAATGTCTGCATTTAAAATCTCACACTTGACTGCAATGGTTCAATGCTTCAAATACCTAAAGGAATGAGAATGAGACCCAGACACCAGAAAAGAAAAGAGGTTCATTTTTTTTCAACTCAAAAGCAGCACATTTTTTAGCAACTCATATACCAGCCCACGAATTTCCTGTACACCTTCAAACCATATTTTCTGAAGTGCATCCCTTCTCATTAGCCCCAGAGTTTGGGGCAGCCAAGGAGCTGTGGCCCTGCAAGAATGCCCCAGAGGCCAGCCAAGGAGGAGCTGGCACTCCCAGGGAGACATCCTAGGAGCGCCCTTCAGATTCAGCAATTTTAGGTCTTGGCTTTTTAAAACCACAAATGAAATGTGTTTCTTCTTTTCCTTTGCCAGCTGCCCTGCAGTTCCAAGACGAGGTTCTGCCTGGGCACCTGGGACTGTCTGAGGCTGCAAAGCTCACCATGGCCCTGCTGGCCCCCCTCCGGCTCTGCAGGGCTTCAGCCTCCGAACGCCGGCCCGTCCCGGGGTCTCTGGGTCCTTGCCCACGGCTGGTGTGCTGCGCTGCGGGGACCCTGCGC